AGTCTGGTAACCAGATCTCCTGGGTACCAGGAAAAAAAAAACCCACAGAAAAAAGTTGGTGGGTGGTGTACACGGTACAAAGAAAGGGAGTCCCTGAGTATCAGCATCTGGCAAGGCCACGTGTAGCATAATCTGATTAGTTTTCAGTTCCACACCCACAAGCTGAAAGATAAAAATGCACACCACTCCTCCCTGAGGAGGTAAAAATCTTCAAGCATCAACACCACATTTACATTCTGCAAGTCAGCCTCTTCCATGGCTCAATTTACATTTTCCCTTCTCCAGCAGCGTGGTGGAAGTTCAGTGATGAGAGACAAGCTCACGTCCCTTTCCAGTTACCACATCCAGCAGACTGGAGATTGCCTTTGCTTTGATCTGGGAGACATTCCTTTGCTTAGTTTAAACTGAAATGATTAAGCTGGAGATGAAGCCTCCTCACATCTTCTGCCATGACTGGAATGTGATAATTGAACATTAGGTTCTATTGGCCATGCGAACATGTTCTGAGGTCGTCCTGGGCTGGTGAGCGGAAGCAGCAGCACAGGCACTGGCTGGCTGGCTGCAGTTTGTGCTGACCCTATGGCACTCTCTCTGTTTCCTGATTTGGTTCATGTAATAAAATGGCCAAAATTGGCACTGGAGGGGATTAATGGCAATGTTCCTGTCTCCAGAAACTAATACTCAGGTTGGTGTTTGGCTTGAAATAGCTGAGTAGTGGTGAAAGATCTGACTATTGCATGTCATTTTGGAGCAAATAATGGATTTCTGGTATCCAGCATGTTTTGTACTGTGCCAGCAGAAAAATCAGAGCAGCTTGTATAACTCTTGCCTATGAACTCTCAATTTTTCTCATCTCTTTCCCACTTCCTTGCCTTTGACCTGATCTGTTCCAATGGCCTTTGGGTTCCATCCTTATTCAGAGACTTATGGGACAGCCTCCATCTTTTTGACCACATTTCATCCAAGTCTCTGTGTCCATGAGCACTTTTCCCCCCTCCAAGCCCAATCCATTCCACAAATTCATCTTTGTAACAGAGCAACAGGCACTAAAGTCTGTGTGCAGGCATCGGGATTGCTGCAACATTATTTTATCCTACTCTTCACGTAGCTTTTATATTGTTTCTTAATGTACTCTGCTGCAGCAGATCGTGGATTCTCCCTCAGCTATCCACACTTGCTGCCCTAATCTTTTTTCCTGAAATAAAATTACGCCTCAGTACCGAGACCAAGGAATATAGCTTTTCTTAGCACGCTCCCCTGGGATCAGGAATTTCTCTGTCAACGGACACATATATCAATGAGAGATGAAAAGCAGCTTGTGGAATGAGTTTTAAACATGTATCACATATTTCACTGCCGCTGCTTATGTGCTGCTCAGAAGCTCTTTTTAGAGTGTTTTCAGCCCATACCTCATGGCTCCTCTGTACTTAATAGGATTTTTAAAATTTTTTTTTTTTTCACAGGAATCCAGGCAGGAGATTTATTTAAGTTGCCCACACACCTTTGTGAGCACCTCCTGAATATGAAAGTTTTGTTGAGTTTCCCGCTTACTTTCAGTGTGAGCACGTCTTAGCTTTTATCAAAGCAGAGTAACCCATAATGTGCAAAGATGCAATGTCATCTCATCTCCCTGGGACATTTCCCTGGGGAAGTGTGGCTTCTTCTGTGGATCTCTTTGTCACAACATGACTTCATGTTGCAACTCTAAATTTTAAAGGTCCAGAAGGAGAAGGCAAATCTGCCTATGGCCCCTTGCTGGTTTCTGGGGACTTGCAGTTCCATTGATGCCTGGAGTCTTCCAGATGTGCATAGAGCTCTTTTCC